CCCTGGCACACCACAGACCTGGCCTTTCAGGTACTGCGCCGGCTGTTTGGAGGAGGGGTAGCAGCCAGCGCACTTCCTAAAACCTCGGAAGTGGTGCAGCTGCGGGACTTCCATCTGCCTTGCGGGAGCTACCTCCATTGTTGCTGGTGGTAGGTAGTGGGGCTTCTCAGGGGTCAGGGGAAATGGGGGGGCCCTGGATGCCTCGTGATTGATTGGTTGGGCCCTCCTGATCGACCAGTAGATTGCGATTCATCAGTAGGTGACCACAGCTCTAGGGGATCTCCTCTTAACTAGGTTTTGCAGAAGGCAGGAAGGCTTTGTTTGCTAACAAGCGTCTCCCCTCCCTCCCCCCGCCATTGAAAAATATTACATTGATGATGGATATGCATATCAGATGACCTAAACTTATGTTCTCGTGGGGACACTCAGCCCCTCCTATAGACTGGCCCATAGGAAAAACAAACCCATTTACAGATCATTGACCTAATAAATGAGCCATCAAGTTTCTGAAATATCCTTAGTGGCCCTCACTTAGCATGTCCATATTAATAAAACAGGTTTATATTTCTAATGTCAAACATAGGAATGATACAAGTACACACATGGGAGAAAATCATATTCAGGAGATTACAACTTTTCCAATGATACATTACAAGAAGTATTTTGCATAAAGCATATTCCAGTTATATCATATTGATATTCATAAAGCATATTTCCATAAAGAATATGGAGTGCAATGACATAGTATCTGTAGTGTATTTATAATTTAAGATTCAGGGGTACAGTATACGGTATTTCACCCATACATTGTAATTTATATTTTTGAACCCTTATCACATATAAACAGTGCATACTGTTGAGAATTTTTAGTATATCTTGTGTTGGTCCCAGATATGTAGAACCTTCTCAACTAATACTGTATAGTATACATAATATTTATTATGAATTATTATATATAATCTCAAACTCTTGATAAACTATTAATATTATTATACAGTGCTTTCTTACATACAGTATGATATAGAATCAGTATGTCTAAGAACTCTGGCCTCTGAGTCAGAAAATCATGGAAACTTACACCCAAGAATTTAGGGGCTAGTCAGTTTGACCCTGTGTGTATAAAAAATATTTTAAAGCAATAATAGTAATTTACAAAGTAATTTTGCCAACATCTTTGGGTAGCACTATTCACTCATAAAAATACATTGCATGACATCATGAGATTGCTTACCCCTTTAAGGAGAGTCTGGGCTCAGATTATCCACTGAGGAATCTGTCTAGGCCATAAGTTCCCAAACTGGAGGGCATGAAGAAATTCCGGGGGGGGAGAGGGGGCGTGAGGCGACCCAGCCCCTCCCCTCCCCCACGTTTTACTGCTATCCTTTTTCTCTTTTTTTTTTTTTTTAAAAAGTTTTGTTTTTTTTTGGGGGGGGGGGGGGAGTGGGGGCATGAGGGTTTTTCAAAAATCAAAAAGGGGGGCATAATGCCAAAAAGTTTGGGAATCACTGGTCTAGGCACTTGATTGTATAATGAGTAGTACTAAGCTCTTCTATAGGGACATGCTTACTGAGAGAGAAGCTCTCTCAAGACAATGAGGAAAAAGCTCTGAGACAACCAGTCACAAAGAGGAGGGCTGTGCAATCTCTGAGCCCAAGGGAAGACATGTAATTCTCATTTATTTTGGATTTCGTGAAGTAGAACCAAAGCTGGGGAATGTTGTCTTGCATTCACTTGAGCTGTGTGGAATTCTTAAAGGGGCCTAAGAGAAGAGACACTGAGGCAGAGAA